AGACCCCTGGAATAGGTTGCCCAGAGGGTAACCCAGAGGGTGGAGGCCTCATCCCTGGGGAGATTCAAGGTCAGGCTGGATGAAGCTCTGAGTATCTTGATCTAGTTGGAGATGTCCCTGCTTGTGGCAGGGGGGGTGGACCAGATGACCGGTTGGACTAGATGACCTTTGGAGGTCCCTTCCAGCCCAGACATTCTATGATTCTACGATCTTCCAACAGATAAGGCATTGGTTCATTTTGATGGTCACAAGGCAAGGCCAGGTGCATTTCCCCAAATGGCCCTTTGTAAACATGATTATTTTAAGTTGAAATTCCTACTTGTTTAAATTGGAGTTCAAATAGATACAGTTTTTATCATATTGTGCTAAAATTTGGAAATAGGGTGTTAACTTGCCTAAAACCTCTACAGATTTCATCACATGCCTCCACTGAAAAACACTAACAGCAGGCTAACAGGAGGAGCACAATGAGAATTACTGGAAAACCTTATCTTTCCATCACTGTCAGGTGTTGGCTGACTGCCTTAGAAAACCAACCAAACAAAAAAACAACAACAAAACCCCACAAACCCACAGGATTCATCTCCATAACCTTAATTCTCTTGTATGATTCAAATGCACGTATGACAATGGAAAGGTGCTAAATACGTTGAGCTTGTAAAGGTATCTGGGATTAATAAAGTGGAAGTTATCAGCAGTGATCCAAAAAAGCTCATCCTAAAACATTTCCATACTTGTGCAGTCTTGGGGGCACACAGCCAGATCTTTACTCTCAATCACATCACAGATGCCATCCGGGCAAGTCTTGATATTTGGGGTGCATGTGGAATAGTTTGTGGTGATTCCTGTTAACACAGAAAGAAACAGCTGCAGAAAACCCGTGAGGCTTTGAAGGAAAGCTTACTGCATCCTCTCAGTGCACGCTGACACACCAAAGCATAGGTTACTTTTCTTTTTAAAATAAATGTCTATAAATATAAATATCTGCTAAATTAACAGGCAAGACAACAGCTAAAAGCAACTGGAAGAAATATATTTTTCACTATGTTCTCTGCTTGGGACAGCCCTTTGGGCATGTCACTTGCAGTTACAGTGAGTATTACTTGAAAAGAGCTGGCTGACTGTTCTGAGACTGAAGATTGGCTTTCGCAGCTAAGTATGTCTCTGCACCATTTCACACATTCTTGGATATGAAGGCTACAAGTAGTCAAAGAGAATTTGTGATACTAATGCAGTCTGAAGGGATAAAGCATCAGCACAGAAGCATGGTTCTGGAAGAATCAAGAGTACTGTCACCTGTCAGATCTGTGCTACAGACCACAGAGAACAGAATTAACAGAGACTGTGCTCACTGTTTGCTGGGGCATACCTGCTCAGGGGCTCCTTGTTATCTTCCAAACTCAAATCATGGTCACAGGGATTATCTGGCAAGCTATGTCTCCTGTTCCAATTACAGTGCTGCAAACCCAGTTCACTACCTGGTGTTTCCTTGTTATGTTCCAAACTCAAATCATGGTCACAGAGACCATATATCTGGCAAGCTATGTCTCCTGTTCCAATTACAGTGCTGCAAACCCAGTTCACTACCTGGTGTTTTATATATCATTTTCAACATCACCAGAGGCAAGATCAAGAATGACCACTGCAACTTAACCTTATTTTCCTTTCTAGTGCATGTTTCATTTGAGTATTATGGTTAATTTTTTTAGCCCCGGCTTCTATGTAACTTACTACACCATGTTGTTCAGACAGACTAAATCAGTTGATAGCTATGGAAGTCAAATGTACAACTACAACTAAGCAGCAGCTTGATTTCCCACAACAGAAATGTACCTTTTCCACTCCCCTGTCTCCACTGGCATCTTCCTGTTAGTACTCCCAGGCCACCACACTCCTCACACTCGGCATGGTGCTTACTCACAGCACAAGAATCAGGGCAGTCCTCTTCTTTTTTTAAAACTGTTGGGAAAAGTCTTTGCTGTCAGTTCAGGACAAGAGAGATGAATACACAAGCAAGTCAGCTCAAATCAGAAGGAAAACTCCACTCTTACAGGTAGATAGGAAGGAAAGAATGATGAAGAAAGCAGTGAAAGACTAAATACTGAATGACCCAACTATCAGTAAACTTAGATAAGAGTTAAGAAAAAGTCCAGGTGTTTCTCTCTGTGAAATAAAAGATAAATGGGAAGATCATGGTAGCATGGTTATCTTTGCTTGATAGCATGCTGACAATTCCCAGAGCTGTAGAAGTGTGCTAACATACTGATAACAGAAAAATGGAGACAATAAGTACTTATAGCTTCATATAAAACTTTCAATTAAGGGAAAACAGTACTTGGGGTAATGCAGTGGTTGCCTGAAGAGCACCAGTTAGAGATGTGTGATTTCAGACAGCACAAGGCTCTTGGGGAAGAAAAAAAAAAAAGAGTCCATTGGTTCTTTGCAGGCTTTTGTTTTTTCTTCGACCAATTGGTCTTAGCATAGGAGTTCTGATATGATAGAAGGAAATGGAGGCAATTATGAGGTAGAAATGCAAGGTTTTGCATGAAGTGCAAAATGGTTTGGAGAGCAATTATTGTTTTCAGTGTAATCCTCCTGCGCTGTGGCTGTTGTAGACTATTTTTAACATTCTATCCTTATGAACTCTTCAGTAAAATGAAATCAGTGCAACTGCTACATGAATGTTAATCAAATTTTTTTTTTTCAAAAAAAAAAAGGAAAAACTGGAGAAATAAATGTGGCAAAAGATGGTTTAATAAATATACTTAGGCCAGAGATTCGTGGTTTTATATATATATATACACACTTATTTTTTTAATTCCATAGGAATATGCGACATGAAAAATAAAAGTCACGCAGACACAAAAAAGATTCTTCTAAATCAAATGGCACCATGAACACTGGGAATCGCGTGTGATGCAGCAACTTTCTGTGCATTGGTTTTTCAAACAAGCACCTGCTACAGGCAAACTCAAAACACAAGCTGTGCCATCTGTATCTTGTAGCTCAGACTCATTTTCATTGTTAATGCCACCAGTTTATAAATCACCCTACTAATGCATCACCTAATACCAGTAACGCTTGTAAGTAAATAGTTCTAACTGAGTACTTACGAGTTCCTTCCAATACAATAGTGAGGAGGGTTTTGGTATGTTTCTTGCTCTGCTTGTCTGTAGCTTGAATAGTGTACTGTATTTCCTTGCACTCGGGTCTGCGCAGCACAGAGGAATCATTCACATAGAGGCTTCCATATTTGTCTTCTCGGCCTTGAAGTATGTTGACAGGATAGCAGCTTATATTGGGGGGCAGTAACTTGTAGGTGATGTTCACACCGCGGAATTTCATACAGTTTTCAATGCAGATTTTTCCTATCTAGGCTCAAACACCAACAAAGAAATCACAGACAACAGAAACAAAACTATACCTCAAAAAGATTCTAAGCTTCCCAAAAATAGCTGAAAGAAATTGGAGTATATAACACCTTACAGAGTTCAGCATTTATCTTGGGTTGACAGATTTGGTATTTTACTACCAATGCAGTATATGAATGCTTCAAATGTGATTTAATCTCAGTTAAAATGAGACGTAAAGCATTACAATTGCCTTCAGGCTAGCAGAGGAAAGGCAAAAAAGCCTTGACCAAGAGACAGGGATATTTGGTGCCTACTGCTGATGGCCAACAGTGTTCAATGAAGACAATACCCTGTGATTGTGTGGGGGGAAGTCTGAGTTCAGTCCCTGCTCTATCTCAGGATCATCAGCAAGAAAACCTTTAGTCTTCCTTGAGAAAGCATAGAGCTGAATGTGACGAAAGCTGAGACTCTTTTCAAATAAGATAGAAATTGCCAATACAAGATTTTCATAATATTGCAGTCAAGAAGTTTCTGGTCAGCAGTGTTCTCTGAAAGCCTTAAAAGGAATAAGAACCTCATTGTTTCCCACTTGCAATTTTAAAAATATTTTCATCTAAAAATGAAAATATGTTGGTTTGCTATATTTGAACTTCTGCCTGCTGGAATATCTGTTCTAGAGCACTCTTCAGTCTGAACCAATTTACCTACGAAGCACAGGAATGTAAAGCCCTGTCTGCTGTCCAGCTCCTATAGGAACTGATCCAAAGCTCACTTTGTTTTTTCCATTTACAAAAATGGAATTCAGATCAAGCCCACAGGCGCTGGCTTTCCTTGCAGGGAAAACCACAATGTGAAGGGTAGGGTGTTATTGAAGGGAACTTGGTGATGGATTCTTTTCAAATGCTGCAGTTAAGATGTGTTTTCAAGTAGCACCACTGCTGGTAAAAGCATGTCTGTATATCTTGGTTTTAGTATTCTTGTTAAAGAATGTTAAAAAAAAAAATGTATTAAGATCCCTTCCTGTCAGCTTGAACTATTTAAAGTCAGAGAGGAAGCTTTTGCAGCCCTAGAAGTCCTTTAATTTGTCATAGCATGATCCCACTTCATCTAACTTATTCCCATTCACTGACTGGGTGTTTGGCACCATTTTTGTTGGATTTTTTTTGGTGGCAGAATAACATACAAAGACTATTAAAGCCACCAGAAGCTAGGCCACTTCTTCCATGCTGTCTCCTCTCCACAGCATGCTGGGACTGGCAGGAAGATAAAGAAGTAAAGACAAGACTTTAGCTGTTCATAAACTCTGTCTAGACAGAAGGTCTAGGCAGGTCCCTTACAGAACCACATCATCTTAGCTTTAGCCCTGCATTGCAACTGGCAGCGTTTTCCAGCTGCTTAGATGGTGTTTGTTTGAGGCAGGAGGAGACAGATGATGTTAACCTTTAAATAGACTAAACTGTTCTTTCTGACTGCTTTGTCATAAATGCTTTTCCCAGACACCTTTTTGACCAACAGAAATTTTCTGCAAAGAGGATGGAGAAAACCCTGTAAATCTGGGGTCCCTGAAGAGCAGATTATCCCTAGAGTAGTGCATGGTCCAGCTTTGCTTTCTCTGTATGATCTGAGGAAAAGCTAAAAATGGCCCTTCCAAGAAATTTCTACAAGAAATAGGCTTCCTCTTTTTGCAAGATTACACTAGGGAAAGCCCAAGCTTGTCACTTTGCACTGCATGGCAGGTTCTGGAGTCAGCACAGCTCTGAGCTGCAGCAGAGCACAGCCCCAGGGGAAGGAGGTAGAAGCAGCAGGTTCCTCTTTCTCATGAGAAAGGTGGAAGATAACCTGGTAACCAGCATTAACAACAACACAGAGGAGGAACCTGCAAATGTGCATTTTGAAAGACTCTCAATAGTTAACACAAAAATTCCATTATCAGAGACAGGAACAGAAAAATCCATTTTTTGAGCTCCAGTAATAAAGTCTGCATAATTAGAATGTTCCTTTTCACTGGATTCCAGGGACACTTGCATATATAACCTCTCTCAAAAAGTCTTAGCCGATGTTATTCGTCATTCGTTTCAGTAAATGTCAATAGAGCTTTAAGTCCTTTGATAAGTTAAATGCCACTGGGCAAGCCTGTACCATCAGACCATGCTTCTGTTATTCAATTCATTTAGCTGCTCAAATAGACAAATGGCATCAGCCCAGCAGTTAATCATTTCTTCACGCTCTCGTGTTTTCCTTAGGGCAAGAGATAGTTCAGCCCTCATATTGATTTGGCTCAGTACTTTTCCTCACTGCTCTGGCACATCATGACTAATTACGCAGACAACTTTAATTATTAATGTGAAGTACTGGGGACGAAGCTGCCTACCTTGACTTGTGCTCGAAACCAAGCACATTGTAAATTCAAACTCAGTCTCAGAAGTAAGCGGATGACACCTGAACTGACTGAGAACACCATCTCCACACCAGAGTGAGTTTTGCATTTTACTAGTCGAGAATCGTAACAAAATCTCTTTGTGTGTTTGGATTTAGGCAACACAAAGAAAGATCTCTTCCCATAGGAAGATTCTCCTTGCCAGGAATAGTTTTCTCTGATACTACTGCCACCCAATGAAATGGCACATTTAGTGGGAAGCACCATTGTTTTCAGAAATCCTTAAAACTCCCTTTCAGATGTTTGACTGTCCTGAAAACATACAAACCCAGCAGCTTTAAAAGTATTTTTTGTGGGGTTGCATTCTGGAATTAGGAAACTATATAATATGTATACTGTAGACTTCAAAACAGATGTGTTCAGCCAATCTAGCGTATGCACAAGTAAAGGTGGTTTGACAAAATTTAATTTAGAACGCATTCATAATATTATTGTATGCATACACCTACATATAGAATCTGTGTGTATATGTATACATACGTACACAAGCACACACACAAATTAATTCATCTATATTCATACAGACCTAACAGTTGGGTTTTCACACTTTTTATAACTACAGTCATGTTGTGACATACATACAGCTGGCACCCATTTCTAGGTGGTAAGAGCTAGACTATGAGTATCTTACACACCTATGCTATTATTTATTTTAAGGGGAAACCCACTGGTTTCACTGTCTCCAGGCATGGGATTTTTACCCCACTGAGAACAAAGCTTTCACAATCTGGTGAACTAGCGTCAAAACCAATACCAAACCTAAAATACTAAACCAAAAACATTGTGATTACACAAAAAGCACAGAATATGCTCTGAAGTCCCTAAAAGACTGCAAATTTAAAAGTTTCAACCACAAGGCATCACAAAATGTCATAAAGAAGTAGATTTTTACAGGGATCCTGCTATGTGAGCACACTTGTTATCTTTGCCTTTTAGGATATTCCATACTGACTACGGTTAAAACATCCCTTGACAAAACAGTAGCTTTTTTATTGGTCATATGAGGCCTGTTCCGTACTCTGAAGGGCTATCAAGCCACAGTGCATTTCATCAGATTAAATGTAAGCAATGTATCTAATTTTCCTTTTCCTCTTTACAATTAACCAGAGGCTTAAAGACTAACAGAAATGAATTCTTCCTTAGAAGTCTTCTAACGAATTGGTTTTCTCTGCAACTGGGATGATCATATTTTAGTCTCAGTCCTCCCTTTTGTTACAAATAGAGCAGCAGTTTTATAGCTTTATTTGGTTATGAGGTACATTTTCCCAGAGCTCTCCTAAAATGGCTCATCACTGATGTTTTTAATATTCACTTTCATAACATTAATTATACTGAACTAGTTCCTTATTAATGTACATGTTCCATAGGAATTACATTGTAATCGTCACCTGATTAATGTCAACCTGTTAGAAAGTGTTTCTGGAAGGCATTATTAATGGTAATGATGCTGATTAAACCAAAATGAAGGTTAAATTAGGAAATACATTAATTACTAGCTAGCCATTATCTACAGAAAAGCTATTAATAGTGGGACAAATTTCTTTTTTTTCCCTTGATATTTCTTCAGTTATTTATGCCTAAGCCACTCATGGTTGCAAGTCCTCCTGTCTATAACACACGTTATAATATAATACTCCCATGTGTAGTCCCCACTGTGTTATTATTTGGTGGGAGAGCCAGTGTCCAGTCTACCCGCGATCCACTGCATCCAGCAGCAACCATATTGATATCACATTTTTCATTGATTCTACTTAAAACCCCTAAACGCAGCTCTTTACTGCACCTTACCCCAGTGATCTACCTACTATGCTGTCTCTAACACAGAGAAAGTACAATTAACACAGTTCTTACTTGTGCAAAGCGTTCAGCATTTCTGTTCACTGAGAACTGGTAAGTCGTGTTTGGAAACTGAATACTGACAGGGAGGATGGAGACATTGAAATGAAGCATCACCGATCTTTCTAGGCCATGAAATTCTGTGTCATTCACCAAAATATCCAACTGAAATGAACGATGGTCTGTGACTGAAATACTTTTATTCAGTACCAGTTCTGCAAAGGAAAAGATTAGTCTATTACTGACCCACTTATGTGCAAACATACATTTTGATACCGCAGTCCCAACAATGATACATATCAAAGTTTCTCCTAACAGGAAACAAAGATGAGTTAAATATGAAGACATGCTCCTATGCAGTTATGCTCTGTGCCATTCATGGTGTTTGGAAGGGTTCTCTTCCTTTCTGCCTACTATGGTGAGAACCCTACAATCATAACCTCTTGCTTATCAGTATACACAGCTTCATCCCGTACACTTCCTGTAACAGAGATGCACACATTCTTTCAGTACATGTTTAAAACTCAGTGTTTGCTTAAAATTTCTCAGCTTTCATTGGCTCAGTATTTACAAAATGCTTGGAAAAGTTCAAGAGCTTATCAATCAATTACTAACAAGAACTTCTCCTTTATTTGAAGAAAGGGACCTTACTATACTCATGTCGAGTTCCCCTCACTTGGCTGCCATTTGGGCTGAAGTGGATTTCATCAAAGACGTGCTCTACCCGAAATATTTCACTTATCCAGGGATCATCCGTAATGATGGTTCCTGTGTATTTCCTTCTGCTGCTTTCAAGGGGATAAATAGGTGTGGTGTCTGCATCGTAGACCATTAGCGTTGCAAGAACAGTCCCCTAGAATGAAATAACAGATGACATTGCTGAATGACCTCAAGGCTTAGTCCTCTAATATATGCTTGGGAGACTGAAATTTTGGGGAAAAAAACCTTACAACTTTCACTCAGGCCCACATTCGTTCCAATTCATTTTAAGCTGCAGGTTACCACTAGTTCACACCTATCTGGATCTGGATTAGAAACTCAAAAGAAGATGGCAAAAAAGAACTCTTAAAAAGACCTTGTCGTATAATCATTTTAGTCTATGTCTAAATACAGTTCTAAACTTTTCAAGTAGGAAATGAGTGCACATGTACAGCTCTTGATTTTTTAATTTTTAAAAATCAATGTTATTCTACTATACTACTAAAAAAAAATGTAACAATATGTGCATTTAAGAGACATTAAATAGATTCACACAGGTCAAACTCTTTACCAAAACGACAGAGGTGACCCGGGTTATCTGTCTTCTACTTAGTCTACTACACTGTTGTTTTTTACCTGGACACTAAAGACACACAACCATTAAGATTTTTATTAGCTATTCTGGTGTTTCAAGTTTGTTTAGCTACTAGAAAAGATTGAAAGTTTCCAAATAAAGCGATTCTTTTTTTTTCCTGCTGTAAAATACCAGAGAAATTTACTACATTCTGAACAATTTGCAGAGGTATAATTTCAAAGCAAATATTGTACTTTATAAAACAGTTTTATGAGCCCTTCATTTTCTATCACCCAGAGCTAAATAGCTCCCAAATCCCAAAATTTTCAAAAGTAAGAAGGAATTATTTTATTCCCAGGCAAATGTGGCATGTGCATAGGTGTCTTGTCAACGTTTGTTCTAGTCAGCAGGTGGCAGCAAACTTCCAAAATAATTCTTTATCCATCCAGACACAAACAAGAGCAAAATGTACTTTGAAGGGATATCTGACCAAAAAAAAAAAAGTTAGGAAACAGAAGGCCTATCACAAAAAATGCATCAGTTAGGCCCCCAAAAGAAGGTACTTCTCTACACTATTGACTTGCAAAGGCTTGTTGCTCTCATTGAAGAGCCAGATAGCCCACCTGTATACTTCTCTACATGTGAGGGGTGTGAATGTGCAGGGGGTACATACAAAGACACCCAGGGGTTCAGACTTCTTGAAGGATCACCTTGGCACAGTAAGGGAAAAGTCAGAGGGCACCACTAAAGCCAGATCCTTCAGCTTTCCCTCAACAGGATGACACGGGAAACCTTAACACCTTTGCAAGTGCAATGTTTGACTGCAGCAGGCAACTGCTGCTTCTAACTTCCTGTTGCTGACAGAGCAACTTAATAAATGTCCTGAATAAGTTCTGATATCTTATATAGATTTACATATACTTGCTCTAACAATACACAGGTTTTGTCACCCTGGGGGAAGCAACCCTGTAGCAAATACCGAGCAGAGCTGAGTATGGGGATGTATAATGATCTCGACCTCAGGAACTGCTCAAATTTCTTTACCCTGTTTAATTTCCAACCCAATAAGATATAACTTGGGGGAAAGAAATCCAATGAACTCAGCATTTTACAGTCACAGGATTGTAGAGTATGGTGTAGTGATGTGCTCATTGCTGAGATCCATTACCCAGAGCATGATGTTTCCCAGTAATCATGCCTCCCCCACAACTGCGCTTCTACTTCAGGGACTGAAGGAGAACATTACCTCTTTCCTGTTGAACTCCACGACAGCATCTGCAGTATCAGTGCCATTGGGTAAGAAGGGAGGAGAGTCATCTTCATCTAACACATTCACCAGGAAGGGCACCTCGATGTGCATTTCCCTGAAGCCCTCTCTCACGGTGCATTTGGCAATCAGCTCGTATCTCTCTCTCTCCTCTCGATCTAGGCGCTGTGTCACACTCACCTCAGTGGTGTTCTCATTGTATCGAAAGGGCACACCTTCAGCTGGAAAACATAGCCACAGAATAAACAGGGACAATTGCTTCCCCTTACAGGACTTTGATATAGCTTTCTTCTTTAATACTCTTTTTCAATCCAGTAATCCATCTGGACATCATGACCACATGATAAAAGATGGACTCAAGAGAATGAAAACAGTGAAACAAAAGGAAGTTGTAGGGTTATGTTAGGGTAGGCAGAAAACTTGGAATAGAAAGGAAGATCCTATGATCTAAAAGCAGCACAATTTAAGACTTAGGGTATTCCTGGTCTGCTCTTAGCAGGTGCAAATTTCTAAAACTAATCGTTTCCTTAGGGACAGGAATAGACCCTCACATCCTCTCTGTGTACCTCAAAGGCAAAATCTTCAGTCTCAGTTCATGCTTGCAACAGAGTTTATAGAATCCATTTAGAGAACCTAATACAAAAGAGATCTTAACAGTGCAGCTGTTTACATCTATTGCTGGTACTTGAGTGGCTTTGTTCCCATTTTACCTGCCAGCAGTTTGTAGGAAATGCTGAGATTCTGACACAGGTGATGAACTGAGGGTAACTGGAGCTGATGAAATGTGCCAGGTGGTTTATTCTCCTTGATGTGAAAGGACAGATCCATCTCTGTGAAGCAAAGCTGCCTTGCTGTCAGGGCACTGCAAACTGGTGCAGTAGCATTGATCACAGAGAGGAAAACTGTAGTGCGCGTAGCAGAGTCGCATTCCTTCTCTTGGAAAGGGTGGGATGAAAGGAAGACATATAGCATCACCTTTGATAATGGCATCCAGTGTCCTACAGCTTCAGAAAAACAAAACAAAAAACCAAACAAAACAAACAAAACAAAAATCAAAGAAATATTTTACAGAAGACGAGCCAACATTTCTCTTACTCATTTTGTACTCTAGTCCATTATTCCACAAACAACCATAAAGTCCTACTATATAATAAAACTGTTCTTCAGTATGTCATCTGCTTGTAGGAAGACCTTAAATCTTAATAACCCCAGTAAGCCAAAAAGCTATAGGCATTAGCACCAATTTTATTTTGCAGAACCTCACAGTGATATCACATTCTGTCTGTAAGATACTGACATAAACCGAGTCACTATTAGTAGCCAGCTTATTGATAGGGCTAGTGCTTGAAATGGCAACAGATATTCAGGACAGACCTGTAACTACGATCATTTAAGTTACAGCACTCTGACAGTTTATACCACTTAAGCATATAGGCCAAGTTGCTTATATTTGGATGACAAATTCCTTCATAATTTTTGAAAATAAAGAGCTGTTCAAAAGAAGTTAACATCAGCCTGTGGCATCTACTAATACACCCTCAAGACTTAGTTATTTTGATTACCTTGTTCTGACTGCAGACAGAATGAAACTATCTCTGTAACAGATCTAATTCACTTGAAAAGGTGCTCTAGGTCACTTTGATCCGTATGAACAAAGCAAGGCTCTCAAGTTCTGGGTAGCTGTTCTTCCCCTGTTCAGTTACAAATAGCTATCTGATATGTGTGAACACAGTATCAAAAATGGGTGAGATATCAAGCACTCAGCACTTAAACTAAAACATTAAATATCTGAAGTTGAACATTTCAACATCAAGGCAACTAAGTCAAAGGGTAGTGTTGATATATGGCTCTTGTAAGATCAAGACAGTTACTACAGGTTCTCCAAGAGCAGAATTTCTGCAACTGATCACAGTGGTATGCCATTAACTTCTCACCCATTTCCTTCTCCACCATCTAATGATACCTAATTTCCTCATAGATCAAAATCACCAAAACCAATTTAGTGCTAAAGCATAAAAAAAAGGGGAAAAAAACCTGAGATAATTAATTTCTGTAGTTCAATAGTAAGCTTCTCTAGCAAATCCCTCAAGAGGTGGAGAGAGGTACATTTAACCACTTCTTCCAAGGGCTGTTTAGAGTTAGGTGGAAATGTACTTTGTGAATCTCTGTTACCAGTCTTCAAGGACTGTTTATATAAGAACTTGAACTAATCTAAACTGCAAATCTCAGTGTAAAACTGTGGCTTATATGGCTATGAAATGCAGAAAAAAGTACTTCAAGTAATGCAACTTTCCTACTTCATTAGAGTCCACAGTGTGAGCAACTGGATCTGTCTCAGGTCCTTGTTTGCTACAGCATATGGTTCCCTGCATTTGCTGTGTGTTTCATTAGGTCTGGTTCCTATTTTCAAAAAGGCAGATGTGTTCTTTCCAGATTTGGTGCTCATATGCTGATGGATAAAATGCATGATCTGAATGTACTTGAACAACAGATACTTCAACAAGAAAAGCCAGTCTTCTCATACTTACATAGCATGTTAAAGTCTTCTCTGTCCAGGGTTTTGCTGAGGTAGAGAAGTCCTGTTTTTTCTCTGATTTGAAACCAATGATTTTCATGGGATCTTGCTCGAGAAATTATGAGATTCTGGCACAGATGAAAGTGGGCTACTTCCCCATGTGAATCCCTCAAGGCATGGATGCGCAGAAGTGGCATACCTGCTGGCTGATCAATGTAGACATTCTCTGAGTACTCTTTCCTGGGAAAGTAGAGACCAAAGGCAGCTGCAAAGGAAGACACACAGCAGGAGAGGTGCTCACAGTTAAATGATTTTTGCACTGGCATTTTTTTAAGAGATACATTTCCAAAGAACCAAAGGCTTAGTTCTCTAAGGATTAAAGAAGCATTAAAAAACATGCAAAAAGGTAGATCCTCATCTGGTGTAAATATAGTTTTGCTGCACACAAGCCAGTGACATAGCCACCAAAAATTTGACCTGTACTTTATGTCCCAGTTACAAAATCATCTGCTTTTGGAAGTAAAAACTGCTTTGCTGTAAGCATGGCCCAGCTTAAGTAGAACACTTAATGAAGCTCTGCTTTCCAAATTTTACTTAAATTCCTATCTGGAGCTCTCAGCTGTAATTCCATTATTTTACAGATGATACTCAAAGAAGGAAAAAACCTTTGATGAAATCACACACTTTAAAAGCTTTAACACTCTATGTTGAGAGAAAACACAGAGATGTGTCAATGGCTAGCACACTTCTCCTTAGCCACATAAATCCTCTTACATAGGAGTCCTTTTGTGGCTTCTTCCCTTTCTAAGCAGATCAGTGTGATACTTCTGGTAAAATAGGAATTGTTTAAATAAAATTGATATGAAAGTCTTATAAATATTTTAAATATGACAGATAGGAAAGCTGAGAACTGACTTGTGGGGGAAGGAAACATACAATGGAGGAAACAATGGGAAGTAGGGAAGGAAACATACATAGAATTGTTAGTACAATGGCTGTGATTGACCCATTGCTCTTCCCCAATTTTTTTCCCTCTCTGAGGTTACAGACATTTACAGTTAATAGGGCTCAACTGTCCCTTGATGCCTGTTTCTTCAGCTGATCTCATTTTACCAGGTCACTTTGCAATGGCCTTTCTACCCCTTCCCAGTGCTTCCCTCCCAATTCTACTGGTTACAAGTATGATCAGAATAGAATGCTTGTGAAGCAAGGAAGGTACAAAGTGATGCTCATTGCACTCATGCACTGAAATATGAGAATTGTCACTCTTGTACTTCACCTGCACTGACAATCAGAACTTGGTCCCATACAAAAGAACAGTTCCATGCGACAGAATTTTGCATCATTTAATCTGATTTGATAACAAGTAACTCATATATAATGTTCACACATCTGCTGAACAAATGAAAATATTAACAATTTCCATAGGTTACTAATACAAGCTACCATAGCTTAAATCAAGCCAGATACAATAGGAAATGATGGTAATACAGCAGTAAAATTAGGAATATAATGCCAAAACATCTTCAAAATAGCATCAGGCTATAGCCCGTATTTACTTTTTTTTATTATTGATCTATTGAATGGAGAGGACCACAAACAAAGTGTAAACAAGAGACCTCTTATTTCATTTGGAAATAACCACAGAAACCACTGTACCTTGCAGTGATTCATGACATCATCAGTATCCCTGTATGTAATTACATCCATGAGATTTACAGAGGCCCATTATTTTTTTCTACATGTTCTTTAAAATATAAAAATAAAGTGGTAAAGTAATGTGGTAGGTGAATTTGCTCCAAAGTAGTTAATTCAAAGGGAAGCCATCAATAATCCTTGTGAGAGTACAGAAAAGCATTCACTTCTGACATCCCCTACCTGGAAAAAAATACCCTATTACTTCTGATTCTGGTGCTACCACAATCCTTTGTTTTCATTCCTGAACACCTGTAATAAATTTCAAATATTTTCCCAGTCCCTCTGTCTTGTCTTTTTTGATGTGAAGGCAAGCCTAGTGAATAGGCACTGCTAGAAGTCCTAAGAAACTGGTTTGTAAGTAAGAGGGATTAGATGATATCCAAATAGCAAGCCCACTTCCAGTGTGAGCAAATAGATTTCCTTGAGCTATTTTTTCTAAAATCTTGATTCTAGAATTCTAGAGAAACTTAACACTGAAAATTCAGTGCTCAAGACCAAAAAATTACTTTTAACCCACTGATGCACACAAGTAAAATTTATAGAACATTAGCTCCAGAACAGAGGAATATTCACTTATTTCCTTATTTATGAGTGTGGGGTGAACAGTTCTTGTGTCAGTGATCACACATCACACAATGCAAGAGCAGAGACACGAAATCACCTCCAGCAAAAGAAGAATATAGAAGGTAGAGTCTATAGAAACATATAGTAGGCAGGGTACATATAAATATTACAGACATGTAAAATGCAAAATGAGAAAAGGAGGGGGAAAAAAGGATATTTCAAATTGTAATTCTTTACTTCTGTGCTTTAAGTGTGTTACTCTATATGCTTTGCTCAACAAATCTGAGTCCCTGCTGCAGGTACAGAGTCATGCTTAAGAAAGCACATGAATAATTTTGGCAGACATTGCCACTTAAATGTGTGAAACTTTGCACGCAGCTACACCTCAACAGAGGTCAGCACCCTGACTGCTCTGCATTTGAAGGAAAAAGTATGCTGCAGACTCTGATATTTTTTTTTTGGGCATCAATTCACAGAAGTAGTCTTTTCCATTCTCAGAAGAGAAGGCGAACAAATCCTGTAATACAAAAGTTTGATTTCTCTGTAGATAACAGAAATGCAAAACAATCATTTGTATTTTGAACAGAAAGGAGGATTTCTTCATAAAATAATTTAGCATTTACATTGCTAATTAATCAGAAATATTTTTTTTGCAAATATAAAAGTCACTTTAAGTAATTATGAAAAGCTGCTATAAGAAATTCAAATAGAAGCATGATCTTTTTCTCCCTGATTCAAACCTAAAAGCTGATGAAACTAAATTCTGTCCATCAAAAATGTTAGTTTTTAGTATAGAGCACACTTCTGTATTAAGGACAACACCTAAGGATAGTTTTAAGTAACACCAGTGTATATAACATACTTTAATGTTTTACTTATGACTATTTTAAGCTAAAAGACTTACAACACTGTAGAAACTTAGATGGCAAAATGTAAAAAATAAATGAAAGAAAAAAATTTATTTGGCCATGTAACGTAACAAGATTCACCCAATGCTGCTGATCTTTAAATTATTGGGATTTTGAAAAGTGGTTTGTATCTCATTCTAACTCCATTTCAAGCACTGAAAGAGATGAGAGGTATGCAACAGACTGCCTAGGTCAGAACCACACTCTGCATATAAATCTTTGGAAGCTGATTTTGATGGAGACCTTTGAAGTAGAAATGTAGCACCCACTCCTCTGAGCCCTGTTCATTCCTTTAAGCCCTAGTAAGTTAAAACCAGACTCAATAAACCTGCCATCTGGCAAGTATGCTGCACAAGGAAGAGGTTCTAATCCTGGCCACAGTTCCTTGTGTCCTAAAAAAAAAATAAAATCAATTTCCAAGGACTTGTGCAAGCTTCCTATGGAAGCCAGATGGAGTTTTTATTTAATCTGCCATTTAAATAAAGAGGAATTGAGATGGTTACACTCAAAACTGATGGTTAAAGTGCTTTTGCTTAGGAATTAAAAACAGAGAAACATTTCACATCACAACCTTGAAATACACCATGAGAAGGCTGTGGTCTATAACATACATGAGTAACATGAGAGAGAAGGAGAGTTATTGAAATATTCTGGAATCTGAACTGTTTTTTAGACGATGCCTCAGCTCTCCTCTATGCTATAATGAGTGCAGAAAATGCAGCAACCTCTGATGGACAAGCAGTATTACATGATAATAACATATCAGTAGCATACAGGAAAGAAAAGTGATCACATTTAAGCGGATGTAATGCTCCTGACTAATAGCTCCTACAGGAAATAGATACAGTTATGGCAGCAGTTTTCCAGTTCATGGAGAGAAAGGAGATAAAATGAGATCAGGGAAATGAGATTATATATACTTTGAAGCCTTCGTGATTGCCTTTTGAAATATGGCAATTTTTCATGTGGCTTTTTTTTCAGTCATGAATGATTAGGCAAATAATGCATTTTTTAATAGAAATAATTTTTTTTAAAAAATAAAATTTGTTGTAGAAAACTTTATTTTTTTTAGTACTTCTTATGTTTGCCAATATAGTTTTGAGTAGCACTGGTGGACTATACTGAAACGTTGAACTGCCTGTAGCAATATTACACTCATACCATGAACAGTGACAAGAAACAAAATTTAACTTCTTAGTCACAAAGTTAAGTGGCAAGACATTCTTTATGAGTGTAGGAGAAGACTTCACAGTAAGACAAGTCTTCCGAACAATGTTTGTAACGATCTGTCAAAGTACAGTTGCAGACTTCAGAAAATCCCTCTTGAAGCAAATTATCCCAGTCACAACATTTGCTCTAGGAAAGGACATGCTTAGATAACTGGAAAACCACCTCAGAACTGTGTGAATCACTTGCAGAGACACAAAGCACTTTGGAGATGGGGAGGAGAGGACAACTAGCACATAGTGGGATTACTGTTCAGAAGCTTCCCATCACCCTGGTCCAGAAGACAAAAGACCCATCCACAACATCCTCTTCTGAAGAAAAGCTGGTGCAGGTTGTAGCAGCCAGTGAACTGCTGCTCAGTGCAGTGCAGCAGCTAGCTTGCTCTAGAACCTGGGTTTGAGAACATAACAGCTAAACTCACAGAAATGGTGGAAGCACCGTACCGTTCAAATTCAAGGCTCTCCACTTAGCCAAACCATTTGCCTTAAGCTAAATAAACAGGTGTCTTCTGTAGTTTGTAGTGAAAATTCAATGCTTAAATGACTGCTGCTTGGTTTAAGTTACACCATGTATTTGAACAAAAAGCTCATTCTTGAGTTAAAGGCTTCAAATGACCGAAATCTAATATATCCCTTTAAACTTATTTTGAGTCTTATTACTCACGTAATCTGAAAATTGTCTGTCTAGCTCAAGTGTTTGCTACTTTCCACTTCATTTTTACCAGTTCATGTTACAAATTATATTTTTTTTCCAGTAGATTAAAATCTTCACAGATCTCATGGTACATTTAGAAACACAGGGACTGGTTTGTGGTTTTAAGAAAAATAAGAAAATAAATATCAGCAAAATGGAAATTTAATGAGGGCTA